TGTTACGGGGGATCTAACGGACCACATATTCATTAGTTGAAAACCGAGATGTAGAAATTGAAACAAAACGGCCAAAATGTGGTGGTCTTTTACGATCACTTTATTTCCCTTTGTAACCAATTATACGGGTGGAAAGAGAAGACACGAGGCTCCAAGTGCGTGGCTGGTGCACTCCTCTGTGCCGATATGGAACAAGAAAAGACTCGTAATTTTTTTCTTGGGTTGGACTACGAGCAATATGGTGCAATTCATTTGCAAATTCTAAGTACAGAGCCGGTCTCTGATATCAACAAAGCTTATTTATTGATCAGTCAAGAAGAACATCACCATTTATTTGTGAGTGCATATGACGATAGAACCGGGCTATGGCATTCGTTGCTCGACCTCCACCACCCAATAATTACCCATGCACTCATTGTGGAAAATCTAGGCACATTGCTGATCATTGTTATATTATTGGTTTTCTAAGTGGTGGAAGAGGGGGGGATGGGGGTCGTACATGTTGCTGTGGAGGTGGAAGGGCAGGACGTGGAGGGGGAATAACACCCCTGATGGACGGTGTTGCCAGGACAACTACTGTCGAGCAGCATAGTAGTAGACAAGATTCCATCGTGGCTTACGGCGTGGCTTTGGATTCTTTAACCTCGAATTAGGTCACCCGTTTGTTAAACATGCTTGATGCATTATCTTCTAGTGGAAAAATCAATGGTATGCCTCTAACCTTCATCCAACGATTCGCTTGTTGACAATGGTGCTTCGCAACACATGACGAGTAACTTTACATGTCTTTTTAATATTGTTGGAATTTCACCTTGCACCATCACTCTTTGTGATGGCTCACAAGTGGTATCAAAATTGTGTAGCAAAGTGAAGTTGTCACCTACTTTGACGATTTGAAATGTTTTCTTTGTTCCGAAGTTGAAGTGTAATTTGATATCACTTGGTTGTCTTAATCGAGCCAATAACTATCTTGAAATTTTTGATGATCCTTGTTTTGTGTTGCAAAACGATGTTTCCAAAGCGGGGATTGGACAAGGTAAAGCCAACAATGGAGTTTATGCCCTTCATCTCTGTGTTCTTGTCTCAACTTCATGTGTCAATCAAGCAACTCTCCTGCACTAGAGACTTGGTCATCCTTCTCATAGTGTTTTCTCTTTGCCTCCATTCAATAAAACTCCTTCTAAAATTAAAAAGATAGTTTCATGTGAGATTTGTTTTTATTCCAAACAAACTCGTTCTGTGTTTAATTCCAGTATAAATAAAGTAGATGCTATTTTTTATTTAATCATTGTGATTTATGGGACCCATACACCGCTTGTTTGTTTGCTGTTGCTCATTACTCTTTGAAAATTGTTGATGATCACTCCCTTGTAGTTTGGGTCTATTTAATAATTGATAAAAGTGAGGTGACTAGTTGTCTTAAACAACTTTTCACTTTTATTCATACCCAATTTCATAAAACAATAAAAACTGTGAGCTTAGATAATGCCACTGAATATTTAAATCACCCTCTCTAAAATTTTTATCAAGAGTTGGGTGTCTAAGTTCAAACGTCTTGCGTCGGTACCCCAAACTTCTAACGTTCCTACTTCTTTCCTCAATGTTGTTCAACACGTGAATTGGCATGTTGCTACGCAGCAAGAAATTATAGCACTCAAAGATAATCATACTTGGGATATCAGCGATCTTCCCTAGGTCATCATGCATTCAGATGTCAGTGGGTTTATAGGACAAAAATTTGTTTCGATGGCTCTAAAGAACGAGACAATGCGAGATTAATCATTTTGGGAAATCATCAGGATATGGGTATTTGATTTCACAGACACTTTTGCCCCCATTGCAAAAATGGGGACTGTTCGTATTCTTTTCTTAGTTGTCATGGCAAAAAAATTGAGAGACCCATCAACTTGACGTGAATAATGCATTCCTTTGCAGTGATTTGTAGGAGGAAGTGTATATGAGAGAAACAACAGGCTATTTTCATCTTTATCAAGGAAAGGTCTGCACTTTACAAAAGTATCTCTCCCCGTAATTGGTTTGAAAAATTGATCACTACTCTCTGCAATATGGTTTTTGTCAGGCACACAAGGATCACACTCTCTTCGTCTTACGACGTCGACCTGATACTTTGGCTATTTTGGCTAATGTTGATGATACCCTTGTCTTAGGAAATAACCCCACTTTGTGGGCTTCCTTCAAGCGATATATCCAGAACTGTTTTCATTTTAAAGATTTAGGTCGCATTAAATACTTCCTTAGGATTGAATGTGCTCGTTCACCAATAGGGATGGTGTTGTGCCGGCGTAAATATATGTTGGATATTTTATTTAAAGCTGGTCTGTTTGGATGCAAGCTGGTGGATACATCGATTCCGACAAATCATGGACTAGGGAGATCGGCAAGTGTCGTGTTGCATGATCTAATGCACTTTCAGTGCATAGTGGGTTGCCTCATTTACTTGACTGTTACTCAGCCTGATCTGGCATACTCTATCTGTGTTTTATCTCAATTTTTGCAGGTACCTAAAGTTGATCATCTTTCTGACACTATGCGAGTCCTACGGTACCTAAAAGGACATTCGAATTGGGCAAGTTGTCCTCTTACGCGACATTCTGTGAGCGGGTACTTTATTATTTTGAGAGGATCCTTGATTTTCTAAAAAATTAAAAACCTGATCACGGTTTCTCGTTTTTCCATTGAAGCTGAGAATATGGCAATGGCCAATGCCTGTCCTGAGATTCGTTGGATACCCCATGTGTTGACGGCACTTGGGGTGCCGATTGTGACACCTCCCAGGTTGTTTGTGATAACCAATCAGCCTTTTTTAGCCTTGTTTATCCGAGCTAATTCAATTTTTCATGAGGACATGAATCACATTGATATTGATTGTCATGTAATGCGTGAATGTGTTAAGCTTTCTACACATACACGATATTCCCACTCGTTTCTAGATTGCTGGTTTGTTCACTAAAGCTTTGTCTAAGCCGGGATTTCAGTTCTTGATGTCCATGTTTTGCGTTCATGACATTCACGCGCCAACTTGAATGGGAGTGTTTATGGAAATTTACTCGTTATTTTTGTAAATGGGCTTTGATTTTGTTATTGGGCTATATATAGTTAACGCATGTAATTATCTATATATAGTGTTCTCAATTAATTTATAATAAAAAAGGCAGAATATTTCTTCCTAAAAATTCTACAATTCCTCACCCAATTCTATTAAGGGCTTCATTTAAGACATGTTTGTTCCATAGCTTTGTATTCCTTTTTAATTAATTAAATTCCATTATCAACAAAAAACAAAGAATGAACGTTTCTAGTTTCTACTATGGAGTTAAGATCCATATAAATATATAATAACGAAAACATTTGACATAATGAAAATATTGTGCGTGTAATAAAAAAGTTAATTAAATAAATGCTTATTACAATATTACTAACATGCTAATATAGATAATAAGAAGCTCCATGAAGTTTTAGGTAAATCTTAAGTCCACCTAATACTTTACCTCAAAAAGGAGGAATATCAAAACTTTGAAGGTAAATTAGGGGTGAGCAAATTTAAAATATCAACGCACAATTTTTTGTAAACTAGACTGAATCATATCTGAGTACCTAAGATTTCCGACCAGCTAGTTCTTATTGGTTCACACTGGTTCAAAGCATATAGTAGTCCAAAAGGCTAAACCAGGCCAATTTGGCCACTAGTTTGTCAGTTCTCAATTCAAACCAGTCAGACCAGTTTAGGGGTGAACAAAGACTGAACTGATCCCAATATTTTCCAAAAAAACCTAGAATATCGAACCAAAAAATACCGAACCAATAAAGTACCGAAAAGAAACTGAACCGTACCGAACTGAACAATCGGTCCGGTATTTGGGAACGGTACGAGGTTACTTCCCATACCGAAATTCTCGAACCGAACATATATACTAAAATATTATAAAAATAATCTTTTTTATATTTCTTCATTCAATAAAAAATTTATATAGACAATTTAGTTTAATTTCATTATGTTTAAGTTGCACTTTAATAAGAGTTTTATTTTTTGTAGATGAGTATAAGAATATTAACAAATATTTGAAATAATACTTTGTTATCACTCGTTATCTTTAGTTTGTGAAATATAAACTAACTTTCATAAGCATTTCTTGCATTTTATTTTCTCATTTTTAAATTTTTTTAATCTTTCTTTGGTTATATGTACTTTCGATTTTTCAAAAATAAATAGTTTTGTTACATTTTATGATGTAAACTAGGTACATATATATTCATCTCGATCCGTACTGAAACCGATACCAAACCATACCAAACCGATGCTTCAGGATCATGATCGGTACAACGTAAAATTCCATACCGAATCGAAATATTTGGTACGATATCGATACGAGCTAAATACCATACCATACCGTACCACGCTCAACCCTAGCCCACTTCGCACTATGATTTAAATAAATTATATCCTGAGTGGATTCATCCCGTTTACAAAATAGTACAGGACAAGTTTTCAATATAATAATTGGAAAACAATTTTTTCGAACTGGACTGTCTTCAAATGTCAGATTAATCAAGTAATTATGCATTTTTGTTTGTTAATTTAAAGAAAATTGAAAAAATAGGATTAAAACATTCTTCACATACCAAACTATAACTTTCAATGTTTGCATAACAAAGCATGACTTATAATGCCAAATAATACTCTAAAGTCCAAACATAAAATGTCAAATTATTTTGGTATTACGAGTTTAAATTTCTGTATTATAACTCGAAAAATCAGGTTAGCATTTTGCTTTGTCAAAATTTACAACCAAACAAAATGTTTGTCAAGTAAGAATGATAGGTGTATAGAATATCAGTGCACTAAAATATTTTAAAAAGTTGTTGTTTTTTGAATAAAAATATTATTCTGTATTAAAAATATACGTAAATTAAAGGACAAATATATGCATGCATGTATCATGTATGAGATGAGGGAGAAAGAGATCGAATGGAATACATACATGGTGAAAGGATCGGGACGAGTGGGATCCTTTAGAACGCGGGTCTCCGGGTCTTGAATTTGGCCAACCTTCCTCAAGAAAGATTTGTTAACGAATTTGTCAGCGGAACCCACCACAGTTTTAGGATCATCAACTTCCACCAAATTCTCTCTCTTCTTCTTCATCACTTGCACCGATGGAGAATGAATCAATTGATTCTTTGCTGTGTGAACCGCCATAAACACCACCACCGAAACGAATCCACCCATCATCCATAGAGGTATTTCGTCTCCCGTCGTCAACCTTTTTTTAAATAAACAAATTACATAATATATGCATGGTCGTTGGTTAATTTTTATACGGAATATATTGATGATAATAATAATAATAACAAGAACAAAAATAATAATACTCCCTAATAAATAATAAAAATAATAGCAACAATAATTGTAATAACAATAGTGGTGGTAATAATAATAATAATAATAATAATAATAATAATAATAATAATAATAATAATAATAATAATAATAATAATAATAATAATAATAATCATTCTAATAATAATAATAATAATAGTAAAAGATTTACGTACCATGATTTGGTCTTCTCAGAGGGAGAATCAGATATGGTCCTGGGAGCAAATCTAGGAGTTGTTGAAGAGGCAAATCGTCGATTCTGGCCGGCACCAGCGATGGCACTCGCCATCATTTGTCTCCACGGCTTCTAATTAATAACCCATAGTTTTAGAAACTAGACATGTCAAAGTCGGAAACAAAAAATTTACAAAATTCAAATAAAATGATTTTAGAAAATTAAAAGGATGGAAATTCAAATTGAATATAATAAGATTCTAAACTTTGTGATTTTTTGTTTGCAATTCTATTATTATACTTCTCTTTAGAAACGCCCGCAAGCAATTCTTTAATCCATCCTAGAAATTTTATCCTCTAATTCTTTACTCAATACTTTTAATTAAGCTTAGAATATAATATTTGGAAAATAAATTGTTCTATGAATTGAAAAACAATGTATGACAAGAAAGTTGATTTCTTCTACTCCCTCCGTCCCGGAAAACATGAGAGTTTTGATTTTGAAGAAGGATTTAAGGAGAATGTATTTTGGTATTGAATTTCCAAAAATATGCTTTGATATGATGGGTAAAAGTATGATTTGATGGATAGATTATTAGTAAAAAGATATGATGTGATAGGAGTATGAAAAAGTAAGGGATAAAATTAACTTTTTAATAGAAAATAAGAAGTATTTTTTGGGACAGAGGAAAAAAGAAAAGAGAAAAGTTTTCAGGGAGGGAGGGAGTATAAAATAAAGGATGTAACTTGACTAACCGTAGCTGCAAAGGCCATACTTCCGAAGTGAAAATAAAAAAATAAAACAAGAATTTCCTATGGAGATTATGTATATTCTTGAAAATGTTTCGTGGAAGAGACTGATTGAAAACATTTATAGGGAAGTTAATTAGAAAGGCCTAAAAGCACGGCCTTGAAGGGACCTAGTAAAAGTATAAAACAGAGAAAATTCATGGTCTTAATTCTCTTGAATATAGATCCGATATATCAGGCATACAGAGAAAGAAGGGTAGTTTTCCAACAAATCCTCTCATCGTTTCTATTCAAAATAGGGTGGATTCTTTCATATTCATAACTTACTATTGATATCATATTCACTTTCCTCACTCAACTATAATCAATCTTCTATTTTAGAAATTTTGAGTTTTATATTTTTTTTACATGTAAGACACCATGTATAATATTAATTTAATATCAATAAATTTATCTAGAAATATAATTTTGAAATGTTATATTTTTGTAATATATATCCATATATAAACAAAAAGTTATCCTCTCTATGTTACGCATTTTTCTTCCCACTTTCCTTTTTATGCTATCTCATTCATTTCTCTACCTTTTTAATCACAAATTATGAAAAAACTAAATTGAATTATGAGATTAATTTCATAATAATAAGTTTATCTTAAAGTATAATTTTGAAATATTATATTTTTGTAATATATATCTATATATAAATAAAAATATTAACATAAAGTGTTACATCAAAGACCGTGCAAGTTAAAATTGAACAACAAAGACGGAGAGAGAGTATTCTATTTAGGGCATCTTCTTTAGGACTGGAAAAAATGTAGATGATGGAAGAAACAGAAAGAAACTGGTAGACAGGAAAAACCAGCAAGAAACTAAAAAAACTTAGATGGAACTTGAAAAATTAGAAAAACTTGGAAAATCTAAAAAAAACAACTTTAAAAAATTTATTTAAGTTTATTTTATATGTTATCCTTTTTCTAATTTTGTTCTTATAAGTTACTCCCTCCGTCCGCCTAAGATCTTCTCATTTTGACTTTTTGTGATTTTAAGAAAAGCTGAAAAAGGTGAAAATTTACCATAATACCCTTAATGAAAATGGATGGAGTGTATTAAATGAGATGTGTGAGGTGTAATAAATAAAGTAAGTGAGGGTAGTTGTGGTATTTTAATTATTAAAAAAAGTAATGAGAAGATCTATGATGGAGAAATAAAAAGGGCAAATGGGAATATCTATGGGGGACGGAGGGAGTGTAATGCCCCGAAACATACCCTAGAATTATTATTAAATAATTATTCGATTAAACAAATTTGTTTTGATTAAAATAAATTGTTGTTGGGCTTTGGGCCGATACGAAATATGTTTTGATATCTATTATCACACTCTGGATAAATCTCATAGAGATAAATCTAATATATTGACTTTTTGTGTGGTCTTGATTGGAAACCTGAGTACAGACCCAAATCAAGAGTAAATGAAAAATTTGTTTATAATGTAAATATTTAAATGATTTGTTAAAATAAATCATGAGAATAATTGATATGAATTAAATAAGAGAACCTTTTATGAGAAAAGTCAATTAAACCAATTTTTACTCTATCAAAGTCAACCACCCAAAAATATGATGTCAGAAAAAGTATTACAAATAATTATGAAAAGTATGTCGTTGAATAGAATTCGACTGTCTGATCGCAACGGTGCGAACGGATTTCAATTTGGAGAAAGTTTGACCAAAAAGTGTACCCCAACTGGAACCAAAATTGGTCCCAATCAGGGAGACTGTGCAGACGGCGCCCC